CTAGCTCAAGGGAAGAGACAACCCCATTCTTCCATCATTCATATTTTCTTCATTAGAACCTGATTGAAGTTTGAAATGATGAATTGATCAGGGGTTAATGTTCATTCAGGTTGGATTTCCTGCTTGCTTTTGTTTCCACCAGGACACGATCATTTGCTGGTCCATCAACAGGGGAAGGCATAACCCCTCCACAGATGCCAGTGCTCCTTCCTGCCCCACTCAGTGGCTCAGCAGCAGAGTTCCTGCCAGCTTAGGTGATGCTTAGTGCCTAAGCCAGGCTTATGCCCATGAACAATTTAAACCAGGGGAGCTCCCCTGAACCAGAGACCCCACTTGCTAGTACCCATATTACTGGTATAAAAGTCAGGAAGGTTGTGACCAGCAGATCATAAGCTTCTCCTCCTGCAGGCCTTTGGGGAGCTAGCCAGTAGCAACTGATCCTTGGGAACTGTATGTAAAACCTATTTTTTCCAGCAAAGGACTGGTGGTGTTTTGGGATGACCTCCTTGCATATCACTCCAAGGCAGAAAAAGCAGACTTGGCAATAAGGTGTGATAAACTGCTGCAGTGTTTAAAAAACCAAACCAGAAGCTTCTAGAGAGTTGTAAGATGCTTGAAAATGAGGCTTTATATTTGGATATTTGAAGTTATGAATTGATTCGTAATGCCAAAATGTTAATGATGGGACCAAGGGCTGGTGCCTGCTTCAACACTAGGTGGATGCTGCCAGGTTTTCTGAGCCCAAGGATCAGAGGTGTAAATCCCACTGACCTTCCTTGGGGGCTGTAAGAGAGGTCTGGCCTGTGTGATGTGGCACTGTCAGGGTGAGTCAGGACCAGCCCAGCCTGGCCAGGCACAGCTCTGAAACCAGATAGTCCCTGGCACCATCACCCACCCAGTACTGAACATTGTTTGCGCTTGGCAGAGAGCTTGAACCTGGAGCTGGTGGATGCCCCCAGGCTAAGAAGGACATCCTCCTCTCACTGGGCACACTGGGCTGGGCAGGAGAGATGGATAAACCAGCAAATCCTTCCAAACCAAAAGGAAAGTTTTGGCCTCCTCTGGGAGATGGTAACAGTCCAATAAAGAGAAATGTGTTTGTGACCAACAAATGTGGCTCAGCACCTCTTTTGTTATAACTCTGCTCTTTTACCAAGCCAAAGGTGCAGGGGACGTGGTGCTCTCTCCAAGGGCTCCCGTGGGCTGCAGTGTTCCTTATGGTCACTCGAGACCTCCTGTGGGAGCTGGCTGCTTGTTGTCCTTTGGAGGTTTTGCTCTCTAGACAGTGGAGAGGAGCAGGGGGATGCTGTGCTCGTGGCTGATTCACCAGCTGGCTCAGCTGAGTTAATTTGTTCCTGATTTAATGTTTGCTTTTAGCAATGGATGTATTAGACTCTTAGAAAATTAATTGTCAGGGTGACACAAGACCTTTGTGCTCTTTAGTACTAACCAAAGATAAATAAATAGAGTTTCTTCTGTGAACGTTGCAACTCTAAGATTTGCCCATATTCTCCAAGTGTCACTGTGGTGTGGCCAGGTGCATTGCAATTGCTGGTGTTTTGGCATCCTTTTTTAACCTTTCTTCTTCTCAGCTCAGTCCTCTGCTGAGAAAACCCTCGTGGTCCCCCTCTCTTGTGCAAACGTGTCTTTTCACCCACAGCCTGCTCAGGTTTTTTTCTCTCTCCTCTTTTCCTCACACAACTCCTGGGCCAGGGATCCTTTCCAAGCTGCCTCACACCCCTACAGTATTATACTACCTTTCTTCCTTTCCCTCAAAGCCTTGGGTGCCCAAGAAATCCCCTTAATTATGGCATGCCCAAATCCCTCCTTCTTTCTTTGGAAGACCATAGGAGGTCCTCACCTATACAGCGAAAGCACAGAGCCAAATCCATGGGGCCAATCCAGCTGGTGTGCTGCCAACCAGACTCTAGAGTAAGGCAGAACTTCCCCTCCTGCCCTCCCATCCTTTCACAACCTCCTTTTGCCTCGGAGCCCAGTTTGCATGGCCCTGACATACCAGCGTCTCAGAAGAGCACATGGCATTTTGTCTGGGATTCCACAGTATTCCCGATCTTTGCACAGAGCTGGGGCTCCTGCACTGCATGGTGTGCTGGAAGGTGGTGGGGTTTGGGGCATCAGCATTAAACATGATATTTATGTTATGGCAAAAACATTCCTGGTTTATGGTGGAAACTGCTGAATGCTGGGATTTGCATCATGGTGGATGTGGACTGGATGCTGCAAATAGGGCTTATGTACATATTTCAGAATCAAGGAAATTAGGAAGAGGAGGCTGAAAGAATCCCTTTATCCTTTGCCTTCATGGGAGAGCTTTCACACGGTGGCGTGCTCTGGAGCTTCTGGAGCTGTTGCTGATGGAGCATCAGGGTGGCACCCCAGGATGCCAGTCTCCCTGCTACAATGGAGAAACCTCATCATGAGTGAGTGCTTCTTTTCATGAAGAGAGAGCAAAAACCCACTGAAATGCATCTTTCTTCAATACTCCTGGGTCATGGTGAACCTAGTGTAGTACTGGCAGAGCAATCATAACGCTGAGTAATACAAAATGCTGCATGAATAACTACAAAAAGCCCAAGAAAAAGCCAGCAGTGGTTGGCTAGATGTGTCTCAAGTCACACAGCCAGTGTCAATCCTGTCTTGCAGCAGCCTGATAAGCAGTAAGGTATTCCAAGACACTTCTAAGTCTGTTTTCTGTAGTTTCCATGAGTAAGTCCTTCCTGTAGTTGTCCCATCTGCACTCTGGGGCTCCGCTGGTGGCTGGGGCTCATCCTCCTGCATAACCAGCTCCTCAGAAAGCAGCTCCTCTGCCTTAATGGATCCAGGAGGTGTTGGCAGGAGTTCTCATCCTGCTGGCAGCTCCTAAGGGTAGTCCTGGGTCTGTTGCTGGCCTCCCGGAACACAACCCCTGGCTCAGGGTAATGTGCAGTATATCTTTCCTTGGTAAGCATATTCCTGGGGGAAGTAGGGCAGCAGCAGTTTAACACACAGTCCTTACCCTGGAGAAGGAAATGCAGCTTCTGTGGAAAGGGCAGCATCAGCTTGTCGCAGTCACAGGCTCTGATTAGCAGGCGAGGATAGCGGCACCAGGCTGCTGCGTAAGCAGGTGCTGAGGCAGAGCATCCCTCACCTCTGCAGCAAGGGAATGGGCTGCAGTCCAGCCATTCCCTCGGCCAACTGAGCCCTTGGTTTACTAAGAGCACAGTGGTCCCAGCCCAAAAGCCTCCCAGATCACTGCAAAGAGGCAGTGTGAGCCCTCACTCACACCAAGCAGCGACCAGCAGCATGCTCCAGAAAGACTCCGTTCTCTTTGCATCCTGCACTCTGAGAAGCTGAAAACACATCTGCACTGTGTGTTTGACAGCTGGGGCGTCAATTCTGAAGGCTGCCGAGCTGATAACAGAGCAGAACCCAAATAACCCACGTTTGCTAGAGCTGGGCTCCCACCCCAAGTGCTGCAGAGATGCTCGCTGTTCTGACTCACACGGTTTGTCACAGGGTCTCTTCTCGATCACTGTATTCCTGCAGAGCAAATAGCAGCTATCTTCCCTGTCTCATCTCTTTTCCTACCATATCTAATCCATATTTTTCTAATAAGATTGTTTTCATATTGCCAAAGGTCTCTGGGAAGGCCTGTATATCTAGCCTTGGTCTACCGTAGCAGTTCTTCCTAACCTCACTCACTGGAGCAGCTTGTATAGCTTAGCCAGGGTTCAGCAATATAAAGGCCTGTACAAATTTGTTTTGCCACTGAGCTCTCAGCAGTAATTAGTTTAAAGAAACCAAGGGCGTATGAAGTGGTCCCATGAGAGCAGAGGCAGCTTGACTTGGGCTATTGCCATGGCCTCTTGCAAACAGCTCCTGAGGACATCTCTGCCAGCAAGGCGTGAGGCCAGGAAACAGGGACTCCTCCAGACCTGCTTAGCTGTCAAGTGTCACCACCCTCCTTGCTGGCCATGGCAGCATCTCTGATCAGAAGATGCCTCTTCTCCACAAGACAGCTGAGCGATGCGCAGGCTATTGAGCTGGGACAGCTCTGTCTCTCGGAAACTGATAAGCTGAGTTTTATAACTGGTATTCAGTAAGTGCCTTTACGGAAGAAGGTGAGGTTGGTCACTTGGAGTCAGGCCACCTGGGCATGGGAGCTGCCTGCAGCAGAGCCCATGTGCCAACAGGAGCAGGGTGCACCAGGAAGGTACTTGCCCCAGCACTCCTCCAATTTCCAGCCACTCAGAACTAAACCAAGGGAATAAACCAAACCACAGTTGCATGACAAAGTCTTTTCTTTTTTTCCTTGTGCAAATTTCCCCTGAGCTGCGCTGTTGTTATTGTGCAAAAAATAGAGCAAGATATGTATTAACTCTCAAAGGAAGGGAACTAGAAAAGCAAGCAGGAGCAGGGCACCCTCGTTAACTCCTTTGACTGAAAGTGGGACACTCACCTGCAGCAGCAGCCTCTGCCTGGGCAATGGCCACTCACCCACCAGCTGTAGGCAGTGGGTGGGCAAGGCGGGTTGTGGGTGATACTGAGATATGAAGCCACAGCCCCGATGCAATCCTGAAACATGAGGGACCCGAAAGGGCTGTGGACTAGCTGACAGTCTACCAGGTGCCACAGAGGGCAAGTCCTGGGTCTTAGGCAGAGGCAGGCAGGGGTGGATGTCTAAAACCCTGCTATCACCCTGGTGCTGGAGCACATGATGTGTTCATGAAGTGCTTGAGTAACCTCTTCTTACAGCTGAGCAAGAATACGGAGATTTTAATGTGACATGGGCTCTGTTTCATGCAGCCCCTCTGAGTGTCCACAGCTGAAGCAGCACTGAGGGTCACCTCTGCACCCAGGGCAGACTGAGCTGCAGCCACTGCTGCTGAGCTGTGGAGCTGCAGAGCTGCACCTGCCATTAACCGGCCCTGGCGCTGCTGGCTGCTGGCTCACTTGTGCTGTACGGCATGAGGCATTCCTGCTGTTCCCTGAGACACCTCCAACACCCCATGGCTGTCTGCCTGTTCCATTGTCCCCCCATAAAGCACAGGCCAGGGCTGAAACAAGGCCAGGGACTCAGCCAACTTGGTCTGAATTCCCTGTTTCTAACAGTTATGAATATCCTAAGAGCCTTTTCTACCCCTCTTTCCCATTGGGATTTGAGAAGATGGTAGTGTTGGAGAGCTGCAACCAGCACTTGAGCCAGTTCAGCTGAGAATCTGGAAATCAATATGGGTCAAATTTTGTTCAGGTCCATTAGTAATTGCTCTGTTGGATGCTGTAGTAGAAATTAATTTAATGGCCAGTCTTCGCGAACGAAGAACCGGGGAAGGTCTTTACACCTTCCAGCCTGCGCATTGGATTTTTTAGGTGAGACACAGTGTGCGCGGAACTGAGCCCACCCTTTAATCCTGAGGTTCATCTGCCAGGGCCAAGCACACTTGGACGGTGGCAGTGAGGTCCTCAGGACGTAGATGGATTGCCTTATGGGCTAACGAGCTCCATCTGCCCGGGGAGGGGCCCCGACCGGGAATCGAACCCGGGTCTCTGCAGTGATAGTGCAGTGTCTTTTCCCCTGGACCACCGGGGGCTCCCTGTAGTAGAAATAAGGATGTGCACTCAGCTGTGAGTCCCTGCTTTGGTTTGTGTTGGTCTTCTGATATCAAAGTGATCAGTGCCTGCATTTAATCTTTAGCCTAATAATGGCAAAACATTTGGCATATTTTATATATTCAGGCCTCAGCTTTTGCCTTTGGTGAGAGGCAGTGCTTCCTGGAGAAGCAGAATCCTTTGAGCAGCCCAGCGCAGTGCATCGCTGCAGTCCGAGAGGGGATGCAGAGCAGAGATGGAACTGCAAAAGAAGCCTCAATAAGAAAAATAATTAAACTATAGCACAGTCCCTGGTCATTACCCAAGCAATATCTGGCTGGAGTACTGGAGCCATCATGTCTACCTCTGTAAGAAAAAGCCACAGACATTTTACACATATGGAAACTGCCCATCATGAAGAAACTCAGAAAGTTCTGCTGGGGTGTCATGAGGGAGTGGAAAAATTACCTTAAAACCAGTAGAAAGTAACTGAGCGTCATCTCCTCGCTTTCTGGTTTGCTGAGCTATCCCAGGGAAGAAGTGGTTCATAGACTGACAGGAGGGGCTCTAATTCTCTGCAGACTTGGGAATTGCAGCCCAGGGATGCTCAGCACTGTCAAGTGGGGTGCGGGTGGCCATGGCACCACAGCATGGAGAGATGCAGGAGAGGGGGGACATGGCCTGAGACATGCTGGGAATAGGCATGAAACCACCACTCTGCTTTTGCTTAGGATCTTATGGCTCTCCCTGGTTTTAGCTGTATGTACAGAAACATTTGAAGGGCTTTTTCTTTGCAGCTGCCAGGAGAGCATGATACCATGCTGGGACTCCTCAAAATTCATCCCCTAGCTACTATACTGGGAATTATTGCTCCTACCTGCCATCCCCCAGGGTGCAAAGACAGCACTGCTGGCAGCAGGGCGAGGGGCTGGAGGGGGGCACAGGCTGGAGCTGATAGGCATCAGCCCCTGCCAAAAAAATACAACCCAAGAGCTTGCAGGGCTGGGGCTGCGGCGCCTGCACACTGGGGAAGCCATACATTTGTTTACTGCAAATGTCTCCATAGAAACTCCTTCTCTGGGGCTGAAGATGTGGATCTGAGCTGCAGTGGAACGAGCTTTCTGCCCCCAGCACACCTCCGTGAGCGGCCTCGGCAGTCTCCATGGCAGAACTGTTTGGCAGGAAATAATTCAGACTAATGTATCCCCCTGCGCTCCTGAAATTGTGTGGAATTTAAAATGCTAAATGAACTAAATCATTGTAAGTGTGCAAGCACTGTAATTGTGAAGAGAGGCAAAGTATAAAGCCTGCCTGTTCCAATGCTTTCCAGCTATAATTCTTGAAACCATCTCGTTTCAAAACAGGCTGAGCTAGGAAGCAGAGAAACTGCACCAACAAAGAGCTGCTCCAGACTTTAAAAAGGCACCACAAACGCTTAGGACTTTCAAAGGACAGAAACAGCTGTAATGATTTAATTCCTACACCATCCTTGGACAAACATAGTGTCCCATGCTACCAGGAAGGTCCCAGCTGTTGACATGAGCATGATAAAAGTGCCTTGCCACCTCCTGGCCTGTGATTGATGCAACCAACAAATGAGAAAATACATAAAGTAAAAGAAAACAAATGCAAATTACCAAAATATCTAGAGAAGCAAAGCTGGTGACTAAACTGAGAGGTAACTTTTCAAGAGGCTGCACTGGGAAAGGGAAGATGAAATGTATGAGAGCAGAAAATTTGGTGAGCGCAGCCTCAGGTGTCAGAGGCTTTTAGAGGCTGCAATGCCACAATGGGATAATGAGAGAGAAGAATGCAGAAGTTGAGGATAGGGGAGGGAGCCAGCTGGCATCCCAGGTATTTAAGAAGCAGTAAGAGGAGGCACAGTCCAGTTCTCCCTTGGACTAGCTCCTTTAAAAAAAAAAAAAAAAGAAAAGAAAACAATTATGGCCCTGCACCATGGCTTCTTCCTCCCAGGACAAGCCCTGGGGACAGGCAGTGTCCTTGGGGCAAGGGGCAAAGCCAAGGAGGAAGGTAACCCTCTTCCCTGGGTTACATGGCCAGGCAGCTGCTGCAGCACTGGTGCCTCTCCACCCTCACCCTTCACAGGGGCTTGCACTGGGGAAACTGCCTTCCTGCTTTAGACCCCTGTATTTCATCATCAGGAAAGAAAGAACGAGGGAGCTTGTAATGCAAAAGCCCTTAATAAGAGCTGTGCTCTTACACCAGGCTGCACTTGCATGATAGCTTTAAAGATGCTACCATGTGGCAGCCCTGAAGTGACCTTTTAATTCTGCCTCCCTCTGTTTAATTACTTTTTTTCACATATATATGTCTGGATTGTATCTGAAGTCTCTATTGTCATCCTCTCCCCTTCCAATCCTCCTGTGCCTGACCCCCACCCACCCCCCAGTGCTGTCTGTCCTGGAGCTGGGATTTTACTGTGCTGTGCATGCCTGCAGACGCCCCTGAGGAGCCAGAGCCACCCAGCAGGAGAGGTCACACAAACACGAGCGCTCAGCTAAGAATAAAGCAATAAATACTAATTAGTTTTGGCCTTGCACCAGTGCCCACCATAGATCACAAGCTCGTCTTTCCTGCAGCCTGGAACAGGAGCTGGCCTGGGACAAACCTAACAGTCCTTCGCAGCAAACCTAACAGTCACCTCATGGCAGTGGCAGTGCCCAAGCCCTGTCCTTCCACCTCAGCAGTCATCTCCAAGGGTACCTCCTGCCTGCAAGTCCCTGGGCTGGTTGCTGGCAAGCTGTGGGCAGGAAGGAAGGCGGGAAGGTAAGAGGCAGGTAACAGCTTCTCCCTGCAGCCCCCAGAGCAGCTCCACCACCCTTGTTGCCACCACCCCCCTGCAATGTCACCCGGGTCCCAAATGCCCCTTGCCCAAGGGGACAGCAGCCCCCCACCGCTGTGTCCCTGGGGAGATGCCAGGCAGAGGGAGCTGAGGAGAGAGGGACAGCTCAAGTGACACACTCTCCACCTATGTTAGGTCACTCCTTGCCCCCACCTGGTGCTGGAAGCATCACTAGCACAAGCGGGGCACCAGGCCCTGCTGCTCCTCAGGCACCAGTGGATTTGGCAGGACGTGTTGAGGCCATGGCAGGTGCCACTGTGAGCAGCTTGCTGGGTGTAGCACAGACAGTGGCTCTCGTGCTTGGCCCTTGTGACGGTTTGGACTTGGCTCCCTGCCAAATGCCCGAAAGTTAGGACAGCAGCCCTCTTCTCCCCTCCTTTCTTCCCTTAGGTTAAAGGAGAAAGAAACTATAAAAATTAAAGAACTCACAGTCAAGCTGCTTATATAAAAATATATCTATATTTACGCAAATTACAGTTATATACAGTTAAGATGCTATATACACAGTAAAAGGGGCCGATCCTGCTGTTCTAAGGGACGTGGTGAGATCTGTTTTGTTAGTTATTAGTATAGTGTCCCTGGCAGCTGCCTGCTTGGGTCAGGGGAGATGGATGTGTCTGCTTTTATTTTGATTCCTTGTGGTTCTGCTGCCTTTGGCTTTCACCTTGACCAACAATGGGCCTGCAGGGCACAAATAAAGCCCAGCTGGGCATTATTTTCCCCTTCTATAGGTTATATGCCACCAGGCTTTTCCAGGCTGGTCTCAGGTGATGTCCATGTGTGAATCTACACCCCTGGGAGATGCCTCACTCACACCCCCCCTCCCGGGTTTCTTGTGGCACCCCTGGCAAAGCTGCCACAGGGGACAAGTTTCCCCTCTTCATGAGCCACGTGGATGTTGACAGCATTACACACAACCTGTATTGCAAAAACACGTATTTGTGGGCCCAGCCTCCCTCTCGTCAGGTACTGATGAGGTTTTCGTGTAGAGCTGCAGTGCCTTGTGTGGAAGATGGTGCTGGGTTAGATTTGGATTATTCCTGTTCTGCTGGTTTGTCTCTCAGTTGTGCTAACTCATGTACGTCTTGGCTGTGCTTATTGAGGGAGCCCCATCAAGGACCCTTTCAAAACACATCTGGCTGTTTGCTGGGAGCTGCAGCTTTGTCTGAAATGGAGAGCAAGGCCTTTTGGTAGGCCTAAAAATAACTATTTGGCTCAACTGCTCCTTGGTCATTGAGGCACTTGGAAAATATTGATTTTAATTTCTGCTAAAATAAATAGGGTTTATTTTACCTTGTGATTTCCTTGCCAGTGCCATGGGTGGGCCACCAGCAGTGTGCCCAGCTCTGGGGCCAGGGCAGTCAGTGCTGCCAGGGCTGTCAGTCCCTTCCCACTGCTGGCAAACTGCGTGGGCAGAGCACAAAACTGTGGGTCCTACAGAAACACACCATGATCTCTCGGTTTGGAGTTCAATACACGTGCTAGGGAATTCTGACTCTTCTTTCTCTTTTGTCTTTAAAAAGAAAACATCATCCTGTAGCAACCTGCTTCAAGTGTGGCTGAACACCTTCAACAGCAGCCTTGCTTTGCTGCCCAGAGCACATGACAAAGCTGGCCTGTCCACAGCAGCGCTGTGGTTGCCCCTCAGTTGGCTTTTCTTTTAATGCAGTGAGACTTCACCTGGTGTTGGGGAAAGCTGGGAATGAGGTGCTGAACTGGAGTGAAGTTGGAGCACGGTGGGTAGGAAACCCCCAGAGCACCAGCCTGTTGGGCAGCTGCATTATCTAAAGGCTGTCCTGAGAGGGACAGGCACCCCAAACAGCTGGCAAACAGCAGATGTCTCAGGCCATGCTGACAGACACTGTGCTGTCCCCTCACCTTCCCAGTGCGACCATCCCCACATCTCATTAAATATCTGCTTGCTCATTTCTCTCCTGATTGATTATGCTGTTCCATGGATTCATCAGATTCTTGTGGTAGAGTCCTTATTTTTCTCTGACTGCTGCTACCGACTTGGAGAAAGGCTCTTAATCAGTCTCATGGACCTCATCTGTCCCAGAGCTACTGCACATTGCAACTAATTAATACTCAAATCGAGGTAACACAGTCACTTGGCTTGTAAACAGCAAGTAAACATAGTATTTCCTCAGTCTAGCAAACAATGAGGGCATTTGAACTACACATTCTATTTTTTCAGAGCCAATTAAAACTGTGCTGTAAGCTGATGAGTGCCTTCCAGGACCTGGGAACCCCTGTGGATGGCCCATACCTATCCTGCCCTGAGGGTGTCCTTTCTTTTTATTGTGCTTCCAGCTTGAATACTGATGGTTAAATACATAAGATCTTTGGCTCCTAAAAGGTGCTATTCAAACAGGAACAGCATGATGCGCAAGACACAGGTGCACATTCTTGGGAGTTCTAAGGCCCTTTGAAAATGCTTTAAATAGGTCATCCTGTTTCCCTTCCTGTGCCCTCTAGTAATGATGTGTCAATACCACCCTTGCTCTCCAGGCTCCTGCTCTGTCTCTCTGCTGAGCTGGCAAAAAAGAAAGGCTGTTTTTTTGCTGGTCCCTGGGAAACCAGAGCTCCTGTTCATTGAAATCCACACCACCAGACTCACCTCAAGTCATCATTACTCTGAGATGCTAATGCCTGTGCTACGTTTGGAGTGGGAACCCACGTACCTGGGGCCTCGGGACCACTGGTGATCTCCCAAGCCCATCCAGTCTTCTTTTCTACATCCACCTCTCATGTGAAAGTCCCATTTTGGCTCTTGCCACTGCAGCTCACAGTCATTTCAGGATAAGCATCTATTCGTTATCATTCATTCCAGGTTGCTCACTCTGAGAGGGAGGACAAACAACTTCTTCATCAAGAGATAGCTTGCTGCTGGGATCACATGCCTTACAGGGCAACTTTTCTTCTGTGAAAGGAACGAGAAATTCATCTGAGGATGCTTGACTTTGATTGCATAAGTCACCTCCACTTTAAAAACAAGCAAATATGCTTATTTAAAAGGAAATGTTTCCCAAAGACATTCACAAAGCAGCCCTTAGCTGGAATAAAGCAAGGTACTGATGCTCCAGGGCCCTAGGAAGTCTCCGTGGTCCCTCTATTTGTGTTACAATAAGTCCACTCAAGTATTAGAAGTTTTGCAGGCTGAGTAGCAAGATAAGTGCAGCTCCTGTTTTTGTGTGGAGGTGAGCTTCAGACTCATGCCAAGTACTATCTCCATGGGAATTCTGCAGACTGCACGGCAACAGCCTCTGCCTCCCACACAAGAGCCAGCCCATTCCCCCAAACGCTTCCTGTGCTGGCACAGCCACAGGGACCAGGCAGGAGAACGCTGAACAGGGCTGCAGGCTGCCCATGCTGGGCAACCCAACATGGCCTGAGAGAGCCCTGGAGTGCAGAACCTTAAAGTGCTGTTGTGAAAAGAATCTGCTGGCCCCAAACATATGCTAGAAATTAATCAAAGCCAAACCCGATGCACAGAGCTGCATTAGCCAGCTTGTGCAGATTAAATATATCTCATCACACTGCAGTATCCACAGGAAAAAGTCAGAGGGCAATTTTCTTTACTCCTACACAGGCGAAGTCAGAAGGACCTGCAGTAAAAGCACCCGATTTGCTCCAGCATAAGTAAAACCAGCCTGGCACGGTCCCATAGCTTGAGCTAATATTAGACAATATTTCAGTGTCCAGAGGTTTCTTCTGTTCCTGGGAGAAACCAGAGTGCAGAGTTGGGCAGCTGTGGAGCAGCACTGTTTGCAGCAGCTGCTGGCCCAGCTCCAACCCTGGCCATCACAGGGTCCTGCAGGAGGGAGAGAGGGAGCTGCTTCCCTCGGCAGCAATGAGCAAGAGGCTCTGTGCCCCACCTCCCTCAGCTCCTACTGCTCCCTCACCTCCCACTGCTCCTGCCTGCTTGGTCATCTTCTCTGCCTTGCTCCTTCTGTGTCTCCTGCTCCTGCCGTGGCATCCAGTACATTCCCAGTGTATGTGAGGAAATCCCGTGACTGTTCCTCCACATTCGTCTGCGTGTTGAGAAAGGCCTTTATTCTCATAGAATCATAGGACAGTTCAGGTTGGAAAGTCATCTAGTCCAACCCCCCACAATGAGCAGGCACATTTTGCTATAGGATACTGTATTTTACTGCTGCCCATCTTAGCTGAATAAAGGTGTCCTCTACAACTGCTGGCTGCAACCCTGGCAGGGATGGCTCTGGTGCAAACACGGATCAAAGGCTGAAGTTCTTATCCAGGTACAGCCAAGGCTTTGAATTCCCAGCAGGAATTTTGCCCAAGCATCTATCAAGAGTTCCACTGATTGCTCCCAGTGAAGCTCTGCAGGTATTTTACATTGGGATAAACTTCAATTGAAAACACATGTAAAACTCCAGTGTTGAGACTGAGAAGAAAACTGAACTGGGAAGGGAAGTGCAAAAGAGGGCAGACAGTAATAAGTGCAGGCAGCTGTTGTCATGATGAATCCCACATGCCTGCTATAAGATGGTCTTCAGGTCATTGCCTGCTCATGCTTTTATGTAACGGTGGAGACAAGAAGAGGTTGAGCTTGAGGGAACCTGGAGGAGGTATGTTTTCTACTCCTGATCTACCTGGGAACATGGACAAAATTCCTTCTTCAAACAATGACAAATAACATCACCCCAGTGTGATTATGGAAAACTGTATCTCACCCTATGCCAAGGCCAGACTAGCACAGTGTGCTACACAGCCTCTGGCTACTGAGCCAGACACTCCAGGATTCTGGAAAGACACATTGTGGGAAGCTCACACCCAGTCTGGAGAAATGTGTCAGACTCTGGGATGGAACTTTCACATTTAGTTTCACTATTTTCAAGACTGTTGTTGCAAGTAGATTACTCGTGCTTGTAACTGGCCACCATCCAGCAGCTCTGGGGCACTGTGAATGGGGACACAGGGCCATTGAAATGAGATTGCTAATTACAGCTGGTGGTTAATGCCATGGCCTCTTGAATTGCTCATTTTAAACAGCCACTGAGTGCAAAAATTACAGCTCTGGCTATGAAAGAGCCACAAAGCCGTAGGCATCTCCTGTGAGAATCAGCTGTATAACTCAGAAAAGGTCATTTTAAAGTGGCACAGTCAATCCAGGAGCCTTGGAGCTCTGTATCATTCTAGAAACAGCGTCTGAGATAGACCAAGCTCAGTCTGCAGAAGCCTGTGTCCTTTTCAAGACCTTCCACTTGTTCTTGAGGCTCATTTAAAGGAAAAAAAAAAAAAAAAGTGTGGGAAAACGCCTTATGGCTGGAAAGATACCTTTAAAAACAGTGTAATCAATCACATGGGTGCACACATGGCAAGTATCAACTTGTATACAAGTGACCTGACCAGTTCCCCTCATGCTGGTCAACACTGTCCTTGATTAATTATTTTTCCACCCTATTATTAGGTAAGGAGGACAAGTGTTTTAACCTTGCTGTAAGTGGTATTTTGTTTCCCTCCTACATCTTGATGGAGCTTGGGTCAATCTGTTTCAAGTGTTGCCATCCAGGTCTGACTGTGGTGCTGGGAAACAGGGTGCTGGTGGCATGAGCGGGAGCAGGTGCCCGAAAACACATCCCAGTGGCCACCCCAAAACACCCAGAGCTGAGACTGCCCTGCAGCACAACGGCAGCTGAGCTGCTGCAGCGACCTGTGTCATGTTAACAGTCACACTTCAGACTATGTTTGGCAGCTGTGAGGAATAAAATCACTTAATTTTACAGTGAAAACTCCTTTGCTGTTGCTATCAGAAGCTGGATTAGCAATGCTGCTCACACATATTCATACATACACACACATGTACTTACCATCAGCCTTCTCTGTTTTACAGTGTTACTCCACCTGTATAGATAAGAAGAACTGCATGGTGCATGAATACTTGACCTCCAGGCAAGCTAACCTGAGCCTCAGAGGTGTTGACCATAGCATGACAACTCTTTTGAGGTTAATTCCCTCCCTTATTTCTCAGTAGTCCCAACAGGGTTTGTTTTATTAAAAAATTAGATGTTCTTCTTTTTAAACTGCAGATCTTTGATACAGTAGCTCTATGCATATTTTCTTCTTTTGCCTGTAACACTTCTGCAACTTAATGCTTCCAGCCTTCTTTCTCCTTCTCTGTTCCCTAGTGACTCATCTAGGCAGG